CATGTTCCCAGGCCCCGTCCCAGCCCTATCATTCTTAGGTTTGCACAGAGGTCCCTTTCTGTGCGACCAGGAGAGTGGCTTTCCAGGAGAGAGCTTTCTCTCTGAAACTGCGGCCTCCCCAGCCTCCCCGCATCCTCCTGTGTCCACTGTGACCACCATCCTTGCCGTCATTTTGTGTGTCATCCCCAAAGGTCACAGCAGGGGAACTTTGGCCCCAAGTTGAGAATTACCTGGCTCAAAAGAGTGCTGAGGTGAGAAACCCAGCTCTTGCCTCAGTGTTTCGCTGCATGAATGAATCAGGGAATTTCTGCAGCAGGGGGACGGGGTGGCACCTCCCCTGAGACTGCAGGCACGAGGGTCAAAAGAGGGCTGGGGTGCGAGGGGGTGAGAAGAGACCCCTTCAGCTTGTTAGGAATGCCCTGTGTTGGTAGCCTGCTGAGAAGTATGTATCCCTCGACACACAAGCCATCAGCCTGCTCCTGAAGGTGCTACACTCACCCATGGGCAGGGTGTGCCTGAAGGCCACCAAGGCCTTCACCATGCTGCCAGAGGCCCCTGAGGGCTGGAGGGTCCTGCAGGCCCACACACATACCTTCCGTGTCCTGGAGAAGGACTCTGACAGTAAGGCTTACGAGGGTGAGGCCTTACAGCAGGCGACCCAGATCACCATCGATGTCATTGAGTGGAAGCCCTGAGCCCCTCGTCGGGTCAGATCTGATCAGCCACTTCTGCACCTGAATCAATGCGCTCAGTCTCTTTATTTCAAGTCGGAATGGCACTTTCCATTCCTGGAGCACAGTCACGTCTCTTCTCACTCTCTTGCCAAAGGCAAAATGCCAGGCCCAGAAGCACCAGGTCCTGGATGGTACAGGCCGAACCCAGTGCCGGGGGATGTATGGGAGGTGCACTTGGAGTTTTGCTCGCTGCTGGGGCCAAGGGTTCCCCTCAGAATGTAGAGAGCAGGATTGAGGCCTCCAGGGACAAAGCTGGGGGCAGGAACTTGGGCTGGGGGAAGGAAGGAACCCAGCTGTACCAGGCACCGCCCAGGTTTCAGAAGCTCCAGTGATTGACCCATGGGGTGTGGCTGGGTGTGGCTCTCCTCAGCCAGGTTTGCCTGCTCCCATCCTGGGTGGCAGGAAGGAAGGTAAAAGGTGAAACGAGATGCAGTTTCTTTTGACTGAGGATGAACTCTATCCTAACAGGCTCCCCCAGGGATGAGAGCTTGGGACAGGGAGAGGTTCTGGTTTCCTCCATAAGATCTTCCCAGCAAATAGCTGCATTCTTCAGTCACCCAAGCACGCCCCCAGGCTGGCCTGAAGCCCAGCCACCTCGAAGGCACATTCCTGGTGCTGTCCAGGAGGGGAGCCTAGGAATCACACGAAAGTCTCCATCACTTCTTTACGCCAAGCCTGGGAAAACGCCTGACTGCAGAGCTTCAGCCTCCCTCAGATGTTCCTGTAGCACGCGCCGGCCTGCCCTTTGGGTCAGCACCCTGGTCAGCTCCTGGAATGGCTTCACCCTGGATGAAGAAGAGACAATCCCTTTTCAGTGAGAACTGTGACGTCATCCCACTAAGCAGCCTCCACACCAGCATCTCCTGGGCTCCCGCCTCTGCAGTCCAGGCTGAGGAGAAATTAGAGATGCGGGAACTCATTAGACAGGGACAGAGGTGCCTCTGTTACAAGGGGAGGGCCAGGAACACAGACTATGTTGGGACCTAGAAGTCCTGAGCACCACATCCTTGCCTCCATTCTCCAAGGCCCATTTACCACACCCATTATCAGCTTCTGGGATTTAAGAAGCTGCTGCTGGGAGAGGTATGGGAGCCAGCCTAGAAGAGGCAACTGGTAGTTCAACTGTAGCCCAAAGGCACAAACTGCCACCCCAGACAACCAAGGCTGGACAAGGGCAGTGGGACGGCCAGTGGCTATAATCCCACACTGTGGAGGGAGCCACCTGTGTTGAGACCCCAGCTCTACACTGACTGTTTACCTATGGAGCCTGGGGCAAGTTGATTAACTGCTCAGTGCCTCAGTTTTCCTAGTTCTAAAGTGGGGATAGTAATTGTGCCTATCATAAATGGGTATGATTTTGGCAGTTTCAGGTGTATCATACTGAAGACAAGTGCCTTGTACATTGTGGGTACCCAAGAAGCCAGTTTACAGCCCCTCAGAGGAGACACAGCAGGCATCTGAGGGGGCCTGGAGTCCTGCATCCTGCAGGTGCCTGGGGCCCTATGTCCAGGAGAAGCTGCCCCCTCCACAGCAGTCTACAGAGCACCCCCTGACCAGGGGTACGCCTGTTTGTGCAGATGTCAGGAGGGAGCCCTGGGCCTCTCTGGGCTTTGATCTTCCCTGGCAGGACTATAGAGGGCCCAGAACGCCGCCTTCTCCCAGCCAGGCCCTTCCCTCCCTTTCCCAAACTCAGCCACCTCACCACTTTCTGCCTCAGACTCAGGACTAATCTCACTATGTCCTTCATACCTGTTTGCATCAGGGGCTGCAAGAAGCTCAGCTCACCTGCCCCTCAAGGCCCTGAATACTACTTTTCTGATCCCGTCTGCTGAAACCTTTTTTCCAAGCCCTCTGGAGGCCCCAGGGCCTCATCCTCTCCCTGGAACATTCTTTCCTTTCTTGCTTGGTCTGAAACCTAGTTCTCCAGAGACCTGCTTCCCCATCGTGTGCGTCCTCCTATGTGGGGCTGCTTTCCTCCCTGCCTGCCCCTCATGCCCTCACTGGAATCGAACAGGTCCTTACAGACCATCTCCTGTGTCTGTTTTGAGGAGCCCTCTGGTTCGGAATCCCTGCACAGGTCTGTGGCCCTGGCCCTCTCCCCTCCCCAGCACCACACCACCAGATTGCTCTTGAAGGGCACAACGTGGTCTCCATGTGGCTGAGCCCAACTGCCGGTCCTCAGGCCTCATCTTTCTTTGGCCATGAGCATTTCCCCAGTGGAGCCTCACCACCTCCCCCTCCCTGAAACACTTCCAGGAAACGAGGCCACTTCTCTGCAATTCCGGTTGTTCAGTAACGTGCTATTGTGCTCTTTTAGAAACTGATACACATCATGGTGTGTTTAAGCCTTTAGGGAAGTGGGAGAACTGGGGACTGCTGTGTGAGCCCCTCTATGCCATACCAAGTCAGACCAGTGAGGGAAACTAGACCGCTATGCTGCAGGGCTACCTCCCCCTCCAGAATGCTTTTCACATCTTCCAAGATCCCCTCATTGGAGACCTTCCATGACCCGGACTCATCTTAGGCCTTCCTGTTCTCTCCATGTGCTACTGGGGTGCCTGCCGATCAGAAAATGAGCGGTGCTGTCACTGAACTGACTGCCCATGGGGACTCGTGGTCTTTGGTGCATTCCAGGCTCCACCACAGTCTCTGCATCCACAGACAACTGTGGTCCTGGCTGCTCTCTGCCATTAGGTTTCCCTTCCATTTTTACTTACTGCCTAAAGAACTTCATATAAAATTCTATTTAACAGCAGTTTATCTCAGACTCCCATATAGAACACATCAACTATTTTAATTTTTTTCTTCTTTCCTATCACTGTCTAAAAGCACACTTTAGACCAGTGTGGTTGACTTTATCTAATTTTTAACCTATTAGATGGGCAATTTTTTTTTGAGAAAGAGTATTGCTCTGGGTGATTCTCTTTGATTGTCTCTGTTCTCATTCCATGAGAACAACCACATGCTCTATGGAAGCATAATCCTTCAATTGCACTCATACAACCTGTCAGTAACCTTTCACTCCCTGAGCCAAGAGCTTCTCCATCCGAGTTTCAGCAAGACCAATTTCTGAGCCATGGGGCAATGGGGAACACCAGCCTCACTAAGTTCACATGCCCAGCTGTGGAAGCAAATTTCATTTTATGGTAAGTCTACTTTGCCACTAAAGGCAGTGTAGCGTGTTAGTTTCTAGATTAGCCTTTGGTGTTAAAGAGATCCAGCTCTTGGTGTGTCTCCTGAGTAATTTACTTCGCTGAGACTCACATTCCTCATCTGTATAATGACTATAACAAAACTAATTGTCTCAAAGTGATTGTGACACTTCAAAGAGGCAAGACAGAGAAGTGTCCATATAATATCTGATACTTAATTTATATCTGTTATTATTTTCATTCTTATAACTTAAGCACCTGCTTATTAAGTACAGTCATGTGGCAGAATGACATTTTGGTCAATGACAGACTACATGTATGACAGTGGTCCCATAAGATTATAACAAAGCTGAAAATTTCCCTTTGCCTAGTAAAGTCGTAGCTGTTGGAATGTCGGCGCAGTGCGTTACTTACGTGTCAGTGGTGAGGTGGTGTAAACAAACTTATTGCACTGCATCATTAGAGTCAAACAACATTTCTTTTTGGTAAAGATTTTAAGTAATATGTTATACAAATGAAAGACTAATCAAAGTGATGGTTTTTAGAAAGAGATAAAACAGAGTCGAGGATTTGGAGAAATGGCTACTCATGTATGCTATTAGAGGAGCATGAATTGGTGTCATCATTTTGGAAAAAGTTTCGCATTATCTATGACAATGAAAGATATGCCCCCTTCTAATAGTCTTCTCGGCAGACGTGAGTGCTTGTGTTATTCCAAAACCACTAACAAAAATACTCAAAGCACCATTACTTGAGACAGCCACAATTATATTAAAAATAACCCTGGCCAGGCACAGTGGTTCATGCCTATAATCTGAGCACTTTGGGAGGCTGAGGCGGGCAGATTGCCTGAGGTCAGGAGTTCATGACCAGCCTGGCCAACATGGTGAAACGCTGTCTCTACAAAAAATACAAAAAAATTAGCCAGGCATGTTGGTGGATGCCTGTAGTCCCAACTGCTCGGGAGGCTGAGGCAGGAGAATGGTGTGATCCTGGGAGGCAGAGTTTGCAGTGAGCTGAGATTGCGCCACTGCACTCCAGCCTGGCCGACAGAGCAAGACTCCGGCTCAAAAAAAAAAAAAAAAAAAAAAAAAAAAAAAAAAAAAGTCTAGAACTTAAGTGATGAATATCATCTTAAAAGCCAAAACCAAAGCCAAAATTTTGAAGACAGGAAATAGTGTGATACTATCTTTTGTGGGAAGGAACTCTTGGCTTCCCCAAAAATTAGAGAACTGGGGAGAAAGAAACCTCATCTCAAAATCTGTGATTGGGTTGGGAAGTGGAGGCTGGAAATGTGCTCAAGGTTAAACTTTCTTCCTCCCTTCAAAGGAGACTGGAGTTTTACCAGTGAGCCCAGAGTGAATATTCACCCTGCCATCCACCCCGGGAGATCCCTTCAAACCAGGAGCTCACAGCGAGGACAGAAACATGAATGTGCACTAACAAGTCCTGAAAGTTCACAGGGTGATTCTCGATTTCCCCTTGGCACACAGCAGAAGAACTGTCTCTCTAGGTTCCAGGAAATGCCTGTGAGAGAGCTGTGTCCCCCAGAGTCCCTTCATCACAGATGACACCCAGTGCTTAAGCCTACACCCCTTGTGCACAATCCCTAGGAGGGCTGACTAATCCAAACCAAAGGTTCTGATGTTCCACAGGCAGAAAAGAGCAGGTGGACTGCAAAGAGAATCTCTCATGAACGCGGCACCCCCATAGCCCATAGAGACAGTTCTTACCATGATGCCAAGAAACTCTGAGAACAACAAGCCAGACCTCACACATATTTCCATTTTCCTTCTGATTTCATACCGCCTCCTTCAGCCCCTCCTCCCAATCAGCAGGGATAACCTGAGGCTCCTGGGAACCTTTTCCCATTGGGTTTTCCCTGGCACGTAGTTCCCTACCTGGATAAGTCTCCTCGTCACTTATACTCTCCAGCGTCAAGTCTTTAGAAAGAAAAACACCAGGATAAATCATTAGAGAGAGTGACTCGCCCGCTCCTCCTACTTTAGCTGAAGCTGAATGATGGGCTATTCTCCCACCCCCCGCTGCTTCATACATGATCCCCTCATCTTTCTTCTGGGTTGACAAACCTTCCTACAGCTTCTTGGGCCAGAGTTCTATACTGGCAGAATCACTTTCACGAGAACCCCAATCCTGTTTCCCAGCAGGAACCCAGAATCAGGTTTCTATACACTGAAGCTAGCAAGGTTTTCCCTCAGGAAGTGAGTTACTTCATGGTACATACCATTTTCTTTCCAAGCTGTTATCTGCAATTGTATAAAAGAAAACATTATGAGAATCAGATTCTGCTGTGCGCTTCACATAGATCTGTTATTCTCTGGACAACGATAAAAAACCAGAAGGTGGTACAGTGATTGAGCCATAGGTCAAAGTCCCCAAAGACTAGCACAGAGGATGGCTATAGAAAAACCACAGAATTTACCTTTAATTTTATATACAAATGCACAATGCTTAATCCAAGGAGGAAAACTGGTGTGGAAAATGCCTCAGCATTCCAGTTGATAGTGGATGCTGTCATTTAAAAGCACTCTAGTGTACCACATATAAGGTGGGAAGACACTCCTACTGAATTCCAGCTCCACAAAGAGAATAGGGTACATTGTACATAATGTGCATTGCCAGATTTTCGTATCAAAATTAACTGAGAAGTGAAGGAATCAGGAAAGCAACATTGCTGTAGAAGACCAAAAAAGGGGATCTTACATGGACATCATCATCATCATCATCACAGTCATCATCACAATCAGCGTCATCATCATCTTCTTCATCTTTGTATCGTGGTGAGCATCTTAAAAACAGGCGGTCCTCAGGCCAAGCTGGAAGGACACAGAGGAAAGATCAGTTCATTGGTGGTTGGTGACTGTGAGTCACTCAGGGAGCTTTGCCGGATGTGGTGTATGGAGGTGGTTCATTAACAAGCATGGACTGAGTTGATGCTGGGCTATTCCCCTGAGTGGAACAGGGCAGAGAAGGGGAGCAGGAAAGACATGAGACATGGAGATCTTCGCCTTGCACTAGAGGCATCAGGCAGCAACAGAGAAGAGTCAACCCAAAATGAAACTAAAATGCACACTAAGGGTCAATGGAAGAGTGCCTTCCTCTCTCTCAAATGTTTTGAAACTCTTCAAAACAAACAGCATTTTCTTAACGTATTCAAGACCCTGTCAGTACACTAGGATCCAGTTACGCTGGTACTACATTTAGCATCTGTTTAAAAAAATTGTTACTTGATTAAAAGCCTATTGTATTAATGAAATGGACTCAATTTCACCCAAATTATTAAGCACACACTTTTTCATGAAATAATTAAAAAAATTAAATATTAATATGCTACAATTAAAACTAGTCATGATTTCCTCTTTGTAAGTCTTCTTCTGGAACCAGCGTGTGTGCACAAAACCTATTGGGCCCCTGTGATCCAGGGCTTCAGCAGCTCTGTGTCACTCTCCCTGAGGAGAGTCCCTAAAGATCAGGCTTTGGCCGGGCGCGGTGGCTCAAGCCTGTAATCCCAGCACTTTGGGAGGCCGAGACGGGTGGATCACGAGGTCAGGAGATCGAGACTATCCTGGCTAACACGGTGAAACCCCATCTCTACTAAAAAATAGAAAAAACTAGCCGGGCGAGGTGGCGGGCGCCTGTAGTCCCAGCTACTCAGGAGGCTGAGGCAGGAGAATGGCGTGAACCCGGGAGGCGGAGCTTGCAGTGAGCTGAGATCCGGCCACTGCACTCCAGCCTGGGCGACAGAGCGAGACTCCGTCTCAAAAAAAAAAATAAATAAATAAAAATAAAAAATAAAAAAGATCAGGCTTCATTCAAGCAGGCCAACCTCACACAGCCTGCACAACCTACACCAGTGAAGCTGAGAGTCATGACTCTCAATACTTTCTGCCATGAGGATAAGTTTCCAGGTTCAAATATACATTGTTTACTGAAATGAGGAAATGTATACCAATAGAAATGGATGAATTCAGGAAAAAATGTCCATGCATACAGGGGTGATTTTTTTGGATAACTAGCTTACAATATATATATATATATTTGATGCCACTTTGTTCAGATATACAAAATAGTGGTATAAAAAATCACAAATTTGGCCCGGTGCGGTGGCTCATGCCTGTTATTCCAGCACTTTGGGAGGCCGAGGTAGGCAGATCACAGGGTCAAGAGATTGAGATCATTCCAGCCAACATGGTAAATCCATGTCTCTACTAAAAATAAAAAAATTAGCTGGGGTTGATGGCACATGCCTGTAGTCCCAGCTACTAGGAAGGCTAAGGCAGGAGAATCAGATGAACCTACAAGGCGGAGGTTGTGGTGAGTAGAGATCACGTTACTGCACCCTGTCTAATGACAGAGCAAGACTCCGCCCAAAAAATATTTAAAAATCACAAATTTTTATTAGTCATGTTAAATCTACCTTATGAGCTGTCAACATAAAGATTCTAGAAAGTAAAGAAGGTGCAAAGCAGTTGAAAGGCATCCCGTATTCATGGATAGGAAGACTAAACCTGACTAACACACAATACTACACAAATGATCTACGGACTCACAACAACTGCTATGAAACTGGTAACAGCCATCTGTGCAGAAATGGAAAAGATAATCCTAAGACTTTAAATAATTTATATATGCCTCAAATAACCATGGTAACTGAAAAAGAATAGTGTTAGAGGATGCACATTCATGAGAGTGAAATCTACAAAAAAAAGATAAATTCAGATCGTGTGCTCCTAGCTTGGGGGCACCCATAAGTATCACAGATATAGAATAGAGAGCCCAGAATTAAATGCATACATAGAGTCAGCTGATCCTCAACAAAGGTACCAAGAATACACAATGGGGAAAGGAAAGCCTTTTCCACAAATGATGGTAAAACTGCATATTCTTATTCAAATGAAGAAATGGAATGCTGACAGTGTGCTCAAGGTTGTGCTTCTCTCTCCATTTCCAAGACACTGGAGCTTTTATAGTGAGTCCAGAGTGAGTTTTCATTCTGTCCTCTGCTCCCAGGGAGATGTCTTGATACCAGAAGTAAACAGCAAGGACAGACAAATGAATGTGCTGCCATGAAACCCAACAGTTCATAAGGTGAGGATCCATTTCTCCTATGCATCTGGGCATACCGCAGAACAATTCTGTCTCCAGGATTAAGTAACTGCCTGTGACAGAACTGTGTTCCAAACCAAAGGCTCTGACATATTGCAGTGGCAGAGGCAGAAAAGAGCAGGTGTTCTCAGAAAAATCACCTTTAAATAATAAGATGTGATCGAAATCACAGGATACTCAAAAACGTAGTACTTCTCACCCTGATGACATTGAACTCGGAAAATAACAAACTCAGCTTATATTTACTTTTTCTCTTTCTACACTCTCCCTCAGCCTCCTAAGCAGCAGGTATAACATGAAGGTTGCTGGAAATGCTGTTTTATTAGATCCCACCTGAAGTCTTGTTGACTACCTGGAGAGGCATCCTCTTCCCTGCTGAGATTCTCCAGAATCCACTCTTTAGACCCACTAACATCACGATAAGTCAGTGAGAGGTGCACTCACTTCTCCTACTCCAGGTGAAGACACACTGGCTCACACAAAATCTCCTGGTTGGTCCTCTGGGTTCACACACATTTCTACAGCCCCTCTGCTTATAGTTATCCACTTGCAAAATCATTTGCTCTCACCAGACCCCCAATATTTTTTAACAGGAACCCAGATTAAGGTTTCTACATATTAAAGCCAGCAAATTTGTTTCTCAGAAAGTGACTTAGTTGAAGGTACGTACCCTGGACACGTGATGGTAAAATCTGCAACGAGAAAAAAGAAGATGCTATGAGGATCAGATCAATTCTGCTGCACCCCTTACACAGACCTGTTAGTCTCTTGATGACTTCAGAAAACTAGTTGTGAAACAGTGGTTGAACCAAAGGTCAAAGACCAAACATTCTAGCATAAAGGACACGTGTGGAAAAGACAAGAGCTTTTCCCACAGAATTTATCTTTGAGGTTGATGTAGATTGCTAAATGCACAGGGCCTAATCCAACGAGAAAAACTGGTGTGGAGGAAACTGCCTCTGCATCAGTTGATGATGGATGCGGTCCTTCAAAAACATCCTAGTGTGTCGTGTATTAGATGAAAAGAAACTCCCACTGACATCCATCCTCACAAAGAGAGTTGTGTATGTTGTACATAATGTGCCTTGTCATATTTCTATATCAAAATTAATTGAGAAGAAAAGAAATAAGGTGAAAAAAATAATGTGTACACTGGCCCATTTTTAAGACAAAGTGCCTTGAACCAGTTTAGGTCAGCAAAGGACAGAAGAAATACTAGGTTCCTTCTTGGATGGGCAATGCCTGCTTGTTGGGCCCCTCCTCCTCCCCACTTAGTTGCTCTCACTTGAATCAAAGAAAATTAGTCTAAGATGAAAATTTACTAGCCTGCAAAGTACCTTACTTTGTCTGTTCTTATCACCCTACCCAGCTACTTGAAGAGCCCCTGAGCTGACTAGGATGATAATGCATTGTGGGCTGCAAAAAATTGCAGTAAGAGAATCCTGGAAAAACACCTAAATCCCCCAACAACAATCAGTAGGCCACACCCAGGAAAACTGTAACCCCACAGTACTCAGCCTATGAGGAACCAGGGGAGGGACCTGCACACTAGGGGATAAATTGCTCGTTGAAACTCTGCTGGGGGTGTCTGCTCCTCAGACACCGAATCTTGCAACACTGTCATTAAAAGTCTTACTTTTGGCCAGGCACAGTGCACCGGATCTTGCAACACTGTCATTAAAAGTCTCACTTTTGGCCAGGCGCGGCGGCTCATGCTTGTAATCCCAGCACTTCAGGAGGCCGAGGGGGGTAGATTACCTGAGGTCAGGAGTTCGAGACCAGCCTGGCCAACATGGTGAAACCCCGTCTCTACTAAGAATACAAAAATTAGCTGGGCATGGGGACATGGGGACACATGTTGTGATTCCAGCTACTCGGGAGGCTGAGGCAGGAGAATTGATTGAAACCAGGAGATGGAGGTTGCACTGAGTTGAGATTGCACCACTGCACTCCAGCCTGGCCAGCTGAGCGAGACTCTGTCTCAAAAAAAAAAAAAAAGGAAAGAAAATCTCACTTTGCTGTTTTTCAGCTCCATGAGTCTGTTCTTTGGGTTTGGACTGGTGAGTTTGTTTCTCACATCAGAAAACCAACATTTCCTTAGAAGACAAAGAAAGGTGGTCTTACCTGGACATCATCATCATCCTCATTATCATCACAATCATAATCTTCACTTGGTGGTGGGCTCACTAAACTCAGGTTGTACTCAGAAGAACCTGGAAGGACACAGAGAAAAGATCAGTGCCCTGGTTGTTTGTGACTGTGAGTCACTCCGAGCTTTGCTGGATGTGGTGTATGGAGCTGGTTAACAAGCATGGACTGCGTTGATGCTGGGCTATTCCCCTGAGTGGAAGAGGGATGGCAGAGGAGGGGAGCAGCAAAGACATGAGACATGGAGGTGTTGGCCTTGTACTAGAGGCATCATGCAGCAACACAAAACAGTCAACCCAAAATGGAACAAAAACACACACTAAGGGTTAATGGAAGAGTGCCTTCCTCCTTCTGAAATGTCTTGAAACTCTTCTAACAAACAACATTTTCTTAACATATTCAAGACCATATCAGTACACTAGGATCCAATTATGCTGCTACTACATTTAGCATCTCTTTTAAAGGATTTATTACTTAATTAAAAGCTTACTTTATTGGTAAAATGGATTCAATTGTACCCAAATTATTCTATTAGTCACACATTCTTTTCATAAAGATAAAAGTTAAATTTTAAAATGCTACAATTAAAAATAGTCATGATTGGCCAGGTGCGGTGGCTCACGCCTGTAATCCCAGCACTTTCGGGGGCCAAGGCAGGCGGATCACGAAGTCGGGAGATCGAGACTATCCTGGCTAACATGGTGAAACCCCATCTCTACTGAAAATACAAACAATTAGCTGGGCATGGTGGCGGGCACTTATAGTCCCAACTACTTGCGAGGCTAAGGCAGGAGAATGGCTTGAACCTGGGAGGCAGAGCTTGCAGTGAGCCGAGATCGCACCACTGCACTCCAGCCTGGGCGACAGAGTGAGACTCCGTCTCGAAGAAATAAAACAAAACAATAGTCATGATTTCCTCTTTGTAAGTCTTCTTCTGGAACCACGGTGTGTGCGAAAAGCCTACTGGCTCCTGTAATCAGGGGCTTCAGCAGCTCTGTGTCACTCTCCCTGAGGAGATGCCTGAAGTATCAGGCTTCATTCAAATGGGCCAAGCTCACAGACCCTGTTCTACCTACAATGAAGCTGAGAGACATGACTCTGAACACTTCTCTGCCATGAGGATAAGTTTCCAGGTTTAAATATACATTAGTTACTGAAATGAGGAAATGTATACCAATAGAAATGAACACATTCTTGAAAAAGTGTCCGTGAGTACAGGGGTGATTTTTTGGTTAACCAGCTTACACAAATTTTTTTTATTTGATGCCTATTCATTCAGACATACAAAATATTCGTATAACAAATCACAAATTTGGCCAGGCACGGTGGCTCATGCCTGTTATTCCAGCACATGGGAGGCCGAGGTAGGAAGATCACGAGGTCAAGAGATTGGGACCACCCGGGCCACCATGGTAAAACCACGTTTCTACTAAAAATAAAAATTTAAAAATTAGCTGGGCATGGTGGCACAGGCCTGTACTCTCAGCTACTTGGAAGGCTAAGGCAGGAGAATCACTTGAACCTGGGATGGGGAGGTTGCTGTGAGCGGGAGCCCATCACTGCACCCCAGTATGGTGACAGAGTGAAACTCCATCTCAAAAAGAAAAAACCACAAATTTATATTAGTCATGTTAAATCTAACTTATTAGCTGTCAACATAAAGATTCCAGAAAGTAAAGAGGGTACAAATAAGTTGAAAGGCATCCCGTATTCATGGATATGAAGACTAAACATGACTAACACAATACTACACAAATGATCTACAGATTAAAAATAACTGCTGGCGGGGTGGTCAACTAACAGCATGGAGCGAACGGATACGATCAAATAGACATCTGAACATGGAAACCCTCTACTAAAAAACAAAAAACTAGCGGGGGGGGGGTCTGAGCCAGTAGGGGGAGGAGGAGAAGGGGAAGGAGGGGAGCGCAGGAGGAGGGCACTGACTCAGCTGGGAGAGCGAGATTCAAAAAAAAAATAAATAAATAAAAATAATAATAACTGCTGTCAAACTGGTAATAGCCATGTGTGCAGCAATGGAAGACATTCCTAAGACTTTAATGAATTTTTATGTGCCTCAAATAACCATGGTAACATTGAAAAAGAATAGTGTTGCAGGATGCACATTCATGAGATTGAAATCTACAATAAAAAAAAAAAAAGAGAAACTGAGACAGCATGCTTCTAGCGTGGGGGCACCATAAGTATCACAGGTATAGAGAGCCCAGAATTAAATGCACACATACAGAGTCAGCTGATCTTCAAGAAAGGTGCCAAGAATACACAATGGGGAAAGGAAAGCCTCTTCCACAAATGATAGTAAAACTGCATATTCTCATTCAAATGAAGAAATGGAATGCTGACAGTGTGGTCAAGGTTGTGCTTCTCTCTCCATTTCCAAGATACTGAAGCTTTTGCAATGAGCCCAGAGTGATTTTCATTCTGTCCTCCGCGCCCAGGGAGATGTCTTCATATCAGAGGTAAACAGCAAGGACAGACAAATGAATGTCCTGCCATGAAACCCAACAGTTCATAAGGTGAGGATCCATTTCTCCTATGCATCTGGGCACACCGCAGAAGAATTCGGCCTCCAGGATTAAGTAACTGCCTGTGACAGAACTGTGTCCCAAACCAAAGGCTCTGACATTTTGCAGTGGCAGAGGCAGAAAACAGCAGGTGTTCTCAGAAAAATCATCTTTAAATAATAAAGCAAGAAGAGGTGATTGAAAACACAGGATACTCAAAAGCCCATAAACATAATACTTCTCACCATGATGACATTAAACTCTGAAAAGAGCAAACTCGACGTATATTTACTTTTTCCCTTTCTAAACCCTCAGTCTCCCAAGCAGCAGGTATAACATGAAGGCTCCTGGAAACGCTGTTTTATTAGACCCCACCTGAAAGTCTTGTTACCTACCTGGAAAGGCATCCTCTTCCCTGCTGAGATTCTCCAGAATCCACTCTTTAGAACCACCAACATCAGGATAAGTCAGTGAGAGCTGCACTCACTTCTCCTACTCCAGGTGAAGACACACTGGCTCACACAAAATCTCCTGGTTGGTCCTCTGGGTTCACACACATTTCTACAGCCCCTCTGCTCGTAGCTATACACTTGCAAAATCATTTGCTCTCACCAGACCCCCAATATTTTTTAACAGGAACCCAGATTAAGGTTTGTATATATTAAAGCCAGCAAACTTGTTTCTCAGAAAGTGAGTTAGTTCAAGTTACGTACCCTGGACACGTGATGGTAAAATCTGCAACGAGAAAAAAGATGCTATGAGGATCAGATCAATTCTGCTGCACCCCTTACACAGACCTGTTAGTCTCTTGATGACTTCAGAAAACTAGTTGTGAAACAGTGGTTGAACCAAAGGTCAAAGACCAAACATTCTAGCATAAAGGACACGTGTGGAAAAGACAAGAGCTTTTCCCACAGAATTTATCTTTGAGGTTGATGTAGATTGCTAAATGCACAGGGCCTAATCCAACGAGAAAAACTGGTGTGGAGGAAACTGCCTCTGCATCAGTTGATGATGGATGCGGTCCTTCAAAAACATCCTAGTGTGTCATGTATTAGATGAAAAGAAACTCCCACTGACATCCATCCTCACAAAGAGAGTTGTGTATGTTGTACATAATGTGCCTTGTCATATTTCTATATCAAAATTAATTGAGAAGAAAAGAAATAAGGTGAAAAAAATAATGTGTACACTGGCCCATTTTTAAGACAAAGTGCCTTGAACCAGTTTAGGTCAGCAAAGGACAGAAGAAATACTAGGTTCCTTCTTGGATGGGCAATGCCTGCTTGTTGGGCCCCTCCTCCTCCCCACTTAGTTGCTCTCACTTGAATCAAAGAAAATTAGTCTAAGATGAAAATTTACTAGCCTGCAAAGTACCTTACTTTGTCTGTTCTTATCACCCTACCCAGCTACTTGAAGAGCCCCTGAGCTGACTAGGATGATAATGCATTGTGGGCTGCAAAAAATTGCAGTAAGAGAATCCTGGAAAAACACCTAAATCCCCCAACAACAATCAGTAGGCCACACCCAGGAAAACTGTAACCCCACAGTACTCAGCCTATGAGGAACCAGGGGAGGGACCTGCACACTAGGGGATAAATTGCTTATTGAAACTGTGCTGGGTGTGTCTGCCCATCAGACACCGGATCTGGCAACACTGTCACTAAAGGTCTCACTTTTGGCCAGCCATGGAGGCTCATGCCTGTAATCCCAGCACTTCTGGAGGCTAAGGTGGGCTGATTACCTAAGGCTAGGAGTTTGAGACCAGCCTGGCTAACATGGTGAAACACCGTCTCTACTAAGAATGCAAAAATTAGCTGGCATGGGGACACATGCCTGTAATCACAGCTACTCAGAAGGTTGAGGCATAAGAATTTATTGAGGCCAGAAGTTTGCACTCAGCCGACATTGCACCACTGCACTCCAGCCTGGCTAACTGAGCGAGATTCTATCTTAAAAAGAAAAAGAAAAAAAAGAGAGAGAGAGAGACAAAGAGAGAGAGAGAAAGAAAAAGAAAGAAAAAGAAAGAAAAGAAAAAAGAAAAGAAAAGAAGAAAGAAATCTCACTTCTATTTTTCAGCTCCCTGAGTCTATTCTTTGGGTTTGGACTGGTGAGTTTGTTTCTCACATCAGAAAACCAACATTTCCTTAAAAGACAAAGAAAGGTGATCTTACCTGGGTATCATCATCATCCTCATCATCATCATCACCACAATCACCATCTTCACTTCGTGGTAGGCTTACTAAACTCGGGTTGTCCTCAGGAGAAGCTAGAAAAACACAGAGGAAAGATCAGTGCCCTGGGTGTTTGTGACTGTGAGTCACTCTGGGAGCTTTGCTGGATGTGGTGTATGCAGGTGGTTGATTAACAAGCATGGCCTGAGTTGATGCTGGGCTATTCTGCTGAGTGGAAGAGGGATGGCAGAGGAGGGGAGCAGCAAAGACACGAGACATGGAGGCCTTGGCCTTGTACTAGAGGCATCATGCAGAAATACAAAAAGTCAAGCCAAAATGCAACTAAAATGCACACTAATGGTCAATGGAAGAGTGCCTTCTTCCCTCTCAAATGTTTTGAAACTCTTCTAAACAAACAGTATTTTCTTAACATATTCAAGACCATGCCAGTACAGTAGGATCCACTTATGATGGTATTATATTGAACATCTGTTTTAAAGCATTTATTACTTAATTAAAAGCCTATTTTATTGATAAAATGGATTCAATTTTACCCAAATTATTCTATTAATGACACATTCTTTTTCATAAAGACCATTTTTTAAAAATAAATATTAAAATGCTACAATTAAAAATAGTCATGATTTCCTCTTTGTAAGTCTTCTGGAACCAGGGTGTGTGAACAAAACCTATTGGGCCCCTGTGATCAGGGGCTTCAGCAGCTCTGTGTCACTCTCCCTGAGGAGAGTCCCTAAAGGTCAGGCTTTATTCAAACAGGCCTAGTTCACAGACCCTGCTCTACCTACACCAGTGAAGCTGAGAGATGTGACTGAACAATTTCTGCCATGAGGATAAGTTTCCAGGTTCAAAAATACATTAATTACTGAAATGAGGAAATGTATACCAACAGAAATGAACACATTCATGAAAAAATGTCCATGAGTACGGGGTGATTTTTGGTTAACAAGCTTACATAAATTTTTTTTATTTGATGCCTATTCATTCAGACACAAAATATTGGTATAACAAATCACAAATTTGGCCAGGTACGGTGGCTCATGCCTGTTATTGCAGCACCTTGGGAGGCCGAGGTGGGAAGATCATGAGGTCAAGAGATGGAGACCATCCTGGCCAATATGATAAAACAACACCTCTGCTAAAAAAAAAAAAAAAAAAAAAAAAAAAAAAAAAAAAAAAAAAAGCTGGGCACGGTGCCACATGCCATTAGTCTCAGCTACTTGGAGGGTAAGGTAGGAGAATCACTTGAACCCGGGAGAGGGAGGTGGCTGTGAGCAGGCAGCACATCACTGCACCCGCAGTATGGTGACAGAGTGAGATTCCATCTCAAAAAAAAAAAATCACAAACTTATATTAGTCATGCTAAATCTAACTTATTAGCTGTCAACATAAAGATTCTAGAAAGTAAAGAAGATACAAAGAAGTTGAAAGGCATCCCATATTCATGGATAGGAAGACTAAACATGACTAACCACAGTACTACACAAATCATCTACAGACTAACAACAACTGCTATGAAACTGGTAACAGCCATCTGTGCAGAAATGGAAAAGATAATCCTAAGACTTTAATGAATTTTTATGTGCCTCAAATAACCATGGTAACGTTGAAAAAGAATACTGTTAGAGGACACACATTCATGAGATTGAAATCTACAGAAAAGGAAAAAACAGAGAAATTCAGACAGCATGTTTCTAGCGTGGGGGCACCCATAAGTACCATAGATATAGAATCGAGAGCCCAGAATTAAATGCACACACACAGAGTCAGCTGATCTTCCACAAAGATGCCAAGAATACACAACGGGGAAAGGAAAGCCTCTTCTACAAATGATGGTAAAACTGCATATTCTTACTGAAATGAAGAAATGGAATGCTGACAGTGTGCTCGAGGTTATGCTTCTCCCTCCATTTCCAAGACACTGGAGCTTTTGCAGTGAGCCCAGAGTGATTTTTCATTCTGTCCTCCCTGCCCAGGGAGATGTCTTGATACCAGAGGTAAACAGCAAGGACAGACAAATGAACGTGCTGCCATGAAAGCTAACAGTTCATAAGGTGAGGATCCATTTCTCCTATGCATCTGGGCACACCGCAGAAGAATTGTCTCCAGGATTAAGTAACTGCCTGTGACAGAACTGTGTCCCAAACCAAAGGTTCTGACATTTTGCAGTGGCACAGGCAGAAAAGAGCAGGTGTTCTCAGAAAAATCATCTTTAAATAATAAAGCAAGAAGTGATTGAAAACACAGGATACTCAAAAGCCCAGAAACATAATACTTCTCACCATGATGACATTAAACTCTGAAAAGAGCAAACTCGACGTATATTTACTTTTTCCCTTTCTAAACCCTCAGTCTCCCAAGCAGCAGGTATAACATGAAGGCTCCTGGAAACGCTGTTTTATTAGACCCCACCTGAAAGTCTTGTTACCTACCTGGAAAGGCATCCTCTTCCCTGCTGAGATTCTCCAGAATCCACTCTTTAGAACCACCAACATCAGGATAAGTCAGTGAGAGAGCTGTACTCACTTCTCCTACTCCAGGTGAAGACACACTGGCTCACACAAAATCTCCTGGTTGGTCCTCTGGGTTCACACACATTTCCACAGCCCTCTGCTCATAACTATACACTTGCAAAATCATTTGCTGTCACCAGACCCCCAATTTTTTAAACAGGAACCCAGATTAAGGTTTCTATATACTAAAGCCATCAAATTTGTTTCTCAGAAAGTGAGTTAGTTGAAGGTACGTACCCCGGACACGTGATGGTAAAATCTGCAACGAGACAAAAGAAGATGCTATAAGGATCAGATCAATTCTGCTGCACCCCTTTACACAGATCTGTTAGTCTCTTGATGACTTCAGAAAACTAGCTGTGAAACAGTTGTCGAGTCAAAGTCAAAGACCAAACATTCTAGCTGAGAGGACACCTGTGGAAAAGACAAGAGCTTTTCCCACAGAATTTATGTTTGAGGTTGATTTAGATTGGTAAATGCACAAGGCCTAATCCAAGGAGAAAAACTGGTGTGGAGGAAAATGCCTCTGCATTACAGCTGATGATGGATGCTGTCTTTCAAAAATAACCTAGTGTATCATGTATTAGATGAAAAGAAACTCCCACTGACCTCCACCCTCACAAAGAGAATTGTGTATGTTGTACATAATGTGCCTTGTCACATTTTTATATCAAAATTAATTGAGAAGGAAAGAAATCAGGTGAAGGAAATATGTATACAGTGATCTATTTTTAACACAAAGTACATTGAACCAGTTGAGGTCAGCAAAGTACAGAAGAAATAGGATATGCCAGGCTCCTGCTTGGATGGGCAATGCCTGCTTGTTTGGTGGCCCCCTCTCCTTCCCACTTAGTTACCCTCACTTCAACCAAAGAAGTTTAGTCTAAGATGAAGGTTTACTAGGCTGAAAAATAGCTCGTTTTGTCTGTTCTTATCAGCCTGCTCAGCTCCTTAGGTCGTAAGTCAAATACTTGAAGAGACCCTGAGCTGACTAGGTTGGCAATGCATTGTGGGCTTCAACAAAATGCAGTAAGACAACCCTAGAAAAATACCTAAAGCCCCTCCCCAACTATCAATAGGCAACACCTGGGAAGATTGTGACCTCACAGTACTCAGCCTATGAGGAACCAGGGGACGGGCCTTCACACTAGAGCATAAATTGCTTGTTGAAACTGTGCTGGGTGTGTCTGCCCATCAGACACCAGCTCTTGCAACACTGTCATTGAAAATCTCACTTTCGGCCAGGCAGGGTGGCTCACGCCTGTAATCCCAGCACTTCAGGGGGCCGAGGTGCATGGATTACCTGAGGTCAGGAGTTTAAGACCACCCTGGCCAACATGGTGAAACTTTGTCTCTGCTAAGAATACAAAAATTAGCTGGGCATGGAGACACATGCCTGTAATCCCAGCTACTCGGGAAGCTGAGGCAGGAGAATTGATTGAGGCCAGGAGATGGAGGTTGCAGTGAGCCAAGATCGCACCACTGCACTGCAGCTTGGCTAACTGACCGAGAAGAAAGAAAAGGAGAAAGCAAGCAAACAAGAAAGAGAGAGAGAGAGAAGTAAGGAAAAGGAAGGAAAGGAAAGGAAAAGGAAAAGGAAAGGAAAAATGTCACTTTTGCTGTTTTTCAGCTCCCTGAGTCTATTCTTTGGGTTTTGACTGCTGAGTTTATTTCTCACATCAGAAAACCAACATTTCCTTAGATGACAAAGGTGGTCTTACCTGGGCATCATCATCATCATCATCATCATCATCATCATCATCACCGCCATCATAATCTTCATTTCGTGATAGGCTCACAAAACTCAGGTTGTCCTCAGGAGAAGCTGGAAGGACACAGAGGAAAGATCCGTGCACTGGTGGTTTGTGACTGAGTCACTCAGGGAGCTTTGCTGGATGTGGTGTATGGAGGTGGTTGATTAACAAGCATGGACTGAGTTGATGCTGGGCTATTCCCCTCAGTGGAAGAGGGATGGTAGAGGAAGGGAGCAGGAAAGACATGAGACATGAAGGCCTTGGCCTTGTACTAGAGGCATCAGGCAGCAACACAAAAGAGTCAACCCCAAATGGAACTAAAGCACACACTAAGGGTCAATGGAAGAGTGCCTTCCTCCCTCTCAAATGTTTTGAAACTCTTCTAAACAAACAGCATTTTCTTAATGTATTCAAGACACTGTCAGTACAGTAGGATCCAATTACGCTGGTACTACATTTAGCTTCTGTTTTAAAGGATTTACTTGATTAAAAGCCTATTTTATTAGTAAAATGGACTCAATTTCACCCAAATTACTCTTTTGTATTAACCACACATTCTTTTTCATAGAGAACATTTTTTAAATTAAACATTAAAATGTTACAATTAAAAATAGTCATGATTTCCTCTTTGTAAGTCTTCTTCTGGAACCATGGTGTGTGCACACACCCGAAAAGGCCCCTGTGATCGGGGCTTCAGCAGCTCCTGTGTCACTCTCCCTGAGGAGATTCCTTAGGGATCAGGCTTCATTCAAACAGGATAAACTCACAGACCCTGCTGTACGTATACCAGTGAAGCTGAGAGACATGACTCTGAACACTTTCTGCCATGAGGATAAGCTTCCAGGTTCAAATATGCATTATCTACTGAAATGAGGAAAATGTATAACAATAGAAATGTACACATTCATGAAAAAATGTCCATGAGTACAGATGTGATTTTTTTCGTTAACTAGCTTACATAAAAATTTTTTATTTGATGCCTATTCAGACATACAAAATATTGGTATAAAAAAATCACAAATTTGGCCAGGTGTGGAGGCTCATGCCTATAATGCCAGCACTTTGGGAGGCCGAGGTGGGCAGATCACTAGGTCAGGAGATCGAGACAACCCTGGCCAACGTTATAAAACCATGTCTCTAATAAAAATTTAAAAATTAGCTGGGCATGGTGCCTCATCCCTATAGTCCCAGCTACTGAGCAGGCTAAGGCAAGAGAATCACTTGAACCTGGAGCCACAGGTTGCAGTGAGTGGACAGCATGTTACTGCACCCCAATGTGGTGACAGAGTGAGACTCTGTCTCAAAAAATAATAATAATGAAAAATAAATCACAAATGTATGTCAGTCATGTTAAACCTAACTTATCAGCTATCAACATAAAGATTCTAGAAAGTAAAGAAGATACAAAGAAGTTGAAAGGCATCTCATATTCATGGATAGGAAGACCAAACCTGACTAACACACAATACTACACAAATCATCTACAGACTCACAACAATTACTATCAAACTGGTAACAGCCATCTGTGCAGAAATGGAAAAATTAATCCTAAGACTTTAATGGATTTTTATGTGCCTCAAATAACCATGGTAACATTTAAAAAGTGTTGGAGGAAGCACATTCATGAGATTGAAATCTACAAAAAACAGAGAAATTCAGACAGCATGCTTCTAGCGTGGGGGCACCCATAAGTATCACAGATATAGAATAGAGAGCTCCGAATTAAATGCACACACAGAGTCAGCTGATCTTCAACAGAGGTGCCAAGAATACACAATGGGGAAAGGAAAGCCTCTTCCACAAATGATGGTAAAACTGCATGTTCTCATTCAAATGAAAATGAATGCCCCCTCCCCCCCACCCACCCACATCGATCGCCCCCCCCCTAAAAACTGCCCTCCGCTGTCCTCACATCAGAATGTGAAAGGACTGCTGACCAATGTGCTCCAAAGAAAAAAAAAAAAAAAAAAAAAAAAAAAAATGGAATGCTGACAATGTGCTCAAGGTTGTGCTTTTCCCTTCATTTCCAAGACACTGGAGCTTTTGCAATGAGCCCAGAGTAATTTTTCATTCTGTCCTCCGCGCCCAGGGAGATGTCTTGATACCAGAGGTAAACAGCAAGGACAGACAAATGAATGTGCTGCCATGAAACCCAACAGTTCATAAGGTGAGGATCCATTTCTCCTATGCATCTGGGCAGACTGTGGAAGAATACTGTCTCCAGGATTAAGTAACTGCCTGTGACAGAACTGTGTCCCAAACTAAAAGCTCTGACATTTTGCAGTGGCACAGGCAGAAAAGAGCAGTTGTTCTCAGCAAGTTCATCTTTAAATAATAGAGAAGAGGTGATCAAAAACACAGGATACTCAATAGTCCATAAACATAGTACTTCTCACCATGATGACATTAAACTCTGAAAAGAATAAACTCTGCTTATATTTACTTTTTCTTTTTCTCTTTCTACACCCTCCTCAGCCTCCCAAGCAACAGGTATAACCTAAAGTTCCTGGAAATGCTGTTTTATTAGATCCCATCTGATGTCTTGTTACCTACCTGGAAAGGCATCCTCTTCCCTGCTGAGATTCTCCAGAATCCACTCTTTAGAACCACCAACATCAGGATAAGTCAGTGAGAGCTGCACTCACTTCTCCTACTCCAGGTGAAGACACACTGGCTCACACAAAATCTCCTGGTTGGTCCTCTGGGTTCACACACATTTCTACAGCCCCTCTGGTCATAGTTATACACTTGCAAAATCATTTGCTCTCACCAAACCCCCAATATTAAGGTCTGGTGAAAGCAAATACAGAAACCCAGACTAAAGTTTCTATATATTAAAGCCAGGAAGTTTGTTTCTCAGAAAGTGAGTTAGTTGAAGGTACATACCCTGGACATGTGATGGTAAAATCTGCAATGAGACAAAAGAAGATGCCATGAGGATCAGATCAATTCTGCTGCACCCCTTTACACAGATCTGTTAGTCTGTTGATGACTTCAGAAAACTAGCTGTGAAACAGTGGTTGAGTCAAGGGTCAAAGACCAAACATTCTAGCGTAGAGGACACCTGTGGAAAAAACAAGAGCTTTTCCCACAGAATTTATGTTTGATTGATTTAGATTGGTAAATGCACAAGGCCTAATCCAAGGAGAAAAACTACTGTGGAGGAAAATCCCTCTGCATTACAGTTGATGATGGATGCTGTCCTTCAAAAACAACCTAGTGTGTCATGTATTACATGGGAAGACGTTCCCACTGAACTCCATCCCAACAAGGACTATTGTGTATGTTATACTTTATGTTCCTCATCATATTCTTATATCAAAGTTAATTGAGAATGAAAGAAATCAGGTGAAGGAAATAAAGTATACAGTGGTCCATATTTAAAACAAAGTGCCTTGAACCTGTTTAGGTCAGCAAAGCACAGAAATAGGATACGCCAGGCTCCGGCTTGGATAGGCAAGGCCTGCTTGTTGGGCCCCCCTCCTCCCCACTTAGTTCCCATCACTTGAACAAAGTTTAGTCAAAGTTGAAATTTTACTAGCCTGCAAAATAGCTCGCTTTGTCTGTTCTTATTAGCCTGCCCAGCTACTTAGGTCATAAGTCAAACACTTGAAGAACCCCTGAGCTGACTAGGATGGCAATGCATTGTGGGCTGCAACAAAATGCAGTAAGACAACCCTAAATAAAAAATACCTAAAGCTCCTAACCAATAATCAATATGCGATCTGGGAAGATTATGACCCCATAGTACTCAGCCTATGAGAAACAAGGAGACAGTCCTGCACACTAGGGGATAAATCGCTTGTTGAAATTGTTCTGGGTGTGTCTGCCCATCAGACACCTGATCTTGCAAGACCATCATTAAAAGTCTCACTTTCTCTGTTCTGCAGGCCTCTGAGTTCATTCTTTGGGTGTGGATGGGTGAGTTTGTTTCTCACATCAGGAAAGCAACATTTCCTTAGAAGACAAGGAAAGAGGGTCTTACCTGGGCGTCATCATTGTCTTCCTCACTTGGTGGTAGAGATTTTAAACTCAGGCTGTCCTCAGGGGAACCTAAATAAGGACACAGAGTTAATGTCAGTGCCCTGGTGGTTGGAGACTGTGAGTCCCTCAGGGAGCTTTGCTGGATGCGGCATATGGAGCGTGGGACTGAAGATTCTGAGACCATCTCAGAGAAACAACTATGTTCAAGTAGTGAGCATGAGGGAGTCTCACCAGATACCTCGCATCTTAGTCAGTGCCTGGACCTAATAAGACTCTTGCATTCCCAAGTCCCAGAAGATATTAACCAATCAAAAATCAAGGCTTCGATGTTTGCTGTGACATAGAAAGGACAAACTGGTCTTCTGGAAAGATAACCATTAAACACCAGAGCAAGAAAAAAATGGTTACAAACACAGCACACAAAGCCCATGGACACAAATTGTCTCACCTCTATCTTATTAAAATACAAAAGGAACAAATCAGACTTCTACACATATTTCCTTTGATTCTGACTTCCTCACCCTTTTCCTAGGTTCCAAAATAACAGGTGTCACCCAACTGCCCCCAGAGATCCTCCTAGAGTATCATTCTCCACCTGCAGGTCTGCCTCACTGTAGCTGCCCTCATGGACGGTGTCCATTGGCCAATCATTAGAAACAAAAACTCCACAAGAAGTTATTCCAGAGAGCAACTCGCCCACCCTCCTACTCCAGGTGAGGCCACACTGGGTTACACGAGATCACTCTGCCCTTCCCTCGGTGTTTTCAGACTCTCCCTGGGCTCTGTGGCATCAGAGGTCTCTAGAAAGGCATCGCTCACACTTGCCAGCCTTCAAGTGAGAAACAGGAACTGAAGGAACCACGTTTCAGCTTTTTCCTTCGACTGGCCCATTATAGGTCTCGCCTCCAATCTCACAGCCCTGAGATTCCCACTTTGATGTGCACGCTTTGAGTTAGGGGAGTCCAACAATCGGCCCCTCAGCCAGGCTCATAGCAGATGTGAAAGAGCATCCTGCGGGGATGGAAATCTCTCCGCTGCATGAACAGAAAGCTGCTGGGCCATTGCATGGTGGCTGTTGTGATGAGGTTCTGAATTTTTTTTTTTTTTTTCAAGATGGAGTTTCACTCTTGCTGCCCAGGCCGGAGCAAAATGGCATGATCTTGGTTCACTGCAACCTCTGCCTCCTGGATTCAGGCAATTCTCCTGCCTCAGTCTCCTGAGTAGCTGGGATTACAAGCGTGCGCCACCACACCTGGCTAATTTTTGCATTTTTAGTAGAAACGGGGTTTCACCATGTTGGCCAGGCTGGTCTCGAACTCCTAACCTCAGGTGATCCACCCTCCCTGGCCTCCCAAAGTGCTGAAATTACAGGTGTGAGCCACCACGCCTGGCCCTGAACTTTTAATTGTAAATATTTAAATGTATTTATGAGGAGGCACATGTATGACTGAGAACATTAGACGGCACAGGAGATCCAGACATGAGGAAGACATGACTCCCCTCCCCTAGTGTTTTCTAGCGAAACAGTTTGCAGCTCTGCTCCTACCATACATTTATGGTAACTTTCTGGGCATCTACACAAGGGCCAGTCACTGTGTGGGCCTGGGGATATGACAACAATGAGGACAACATCCAGGTCCAGAAGGATTCCAGCAGGGGGCGCTCATGGACACAGGGGAAGACCGTGGCCCTGCACTCCCTGTCTAGACCGGATCAGAGCAGCAGGAGCCGAGGGGCAGGGGCACCTCACTGTCCTCAGGAGCTCAACCTCATCCCCGGGGACCCTGACTCAGAAGCTGGGGCAGGCTCCAGGATTGGTGTAGGGCTCAACAGACTGGACAGGCTGAGAAGGGAACATTTCCACATGTGCGCTAGATCCCAGCCCAGGGCTGACCTAGAACTCATGCCAGGGATGTGTTCACTACGGTGCCCATGGGGCCTAACATGTTCTCCCCAGGACTGAGCTCTGGGGTAAGGACTAATGGGGAAGACACAGTCACTGCCCTGGCAGGAAACACCCATAGCCAGGGTTCCTCTATCCACCCTGTGGGAAGACACAACACAGATAGAGTTTGACACTGAGATTCCAAACATTCTATAAAATAAGTGGAAACTGATGTGTTCTGGATTCCACAGAAGAGTTGCAAGGATGAGCTGGACTCTAAAATCAGTCCCCATCCCTTTGCTGAGCTCCTGGTGCACTGGAACTCGTGTCCCTCCCCACCTCCCCTGCTACTCGGGAGTGCTGCAGCTACAGGCCCAGTGCTAGGGGGTCTGTCCAGTTGAAACACATTTCAGCCAGGCACAGTGGCTCATACGTGTAATCCCAGCACTTTGGGAGGCTGAGGCGTGTGGGTCATCTGATGTCAGGAATTCGAGACCATCCTGGCCAACATGGAGAAACCCCGACTATACTACAAATATAAAAACTAGCTGGGTGTGGTGGTGCATGCCTCTAATTCCAGCTACTCAGCAGGTTGAGGCAGGAGAATCACCTGAACCTGGGAGGTGGAGGATGCCGAGAGCTGAGATCATGCCACTGCACTCCAGCCGGGGTGACAGAGTGAGACTCTATCTCAAAACAAACAAAACAAAACAAAACAAAACACACACATTTCTGGGCCAGACAACCCTTGGTCAACAGTGTCTCCTCAAGGACCATTCCTCAAGTGACTCCCAGAAGAGGTGAAAAAGAAAAACTCATCTGTTCCAGCCCCAGGAAGATCAGGCCTGGGGCCTGTCTGTGTCTGTCCTGACTTGTGTCCTGTCTGCTCTGTGTCAGACAAGTGGGGACCTGATTCCTGTTCTGCCTCCTCACCAATTTCTGCTGGTGTCACTGCCATCATCGCACCAAGAGATGGAGAAGACAAGAGAAAGCAATGAAACTCCATTCTTGAGGCATTCAGGATGATGTCCACACCATGCTCTCGGCAGACAGGAAGGCCAGATCCTGCTCACTCCTACTCAGAAGGGGTGTCAGAGATATGAGTACTAATCCTGTGATATTTCTCCTCGGCTCTTCCCTTTCTTTTTTCCTTTTTTCTTTTCTTTTCTTTCTTTTTTTTTTGAGATGGAGTCTCGCTCAGGCTGGAGTGCAGTGGGTCGATCTCGGCTCACTTAAACTCATGACCTCAGGCGATCCGCTGCCTCAGCCTCCCAAAGTGCTGGGATTACAGGTGTGAGCCACTGTGCTCAGCCATGGATTGGAGCATTTCTAAGGCCTGAGGTAGTCCTGTTATTAAATACAATGCAATATCTTCCTGATCCTTCCCTGCTTTGACCAAGTGTTGAGGAATGAGCCCAGCACTGACAGATGTTGACCTGCACTGTTCTACATGATCCCTTACACTTCTCAGCATCTGTGAACTGACCAGAAGCCTGTGGGCTTTCTATGTGTATTTCACAGTAATGTCCATGCAAACGTCTGTTGTTCCCTGTACTTTTTGCTGCCCAGGGTTTTGTGACCACTGGGGCCCCATTTGATGATGGGCAAAGTTTGGCAGCTTATAGGCCACACAGTTCCAGGGGCACACACAGGTGCTGGAGCTCCCTGGTGTGGGGTCCTGTCACCAAGCCTGGGTGATGACACAGTTGAGTAATACAGACCATCAACACTGGGACCCATTTCTGGGTTCACTTTTGCCTCCTCCATTCAGGAGGTCAGAATCTGGGTTCACTCCTTTCTGCACTCTCTCCAGCTAAGGAGTAGGGATATTAAACTGACCTTCAGGTACAGCTGTGGTGAGGGAGGAAAGAGGTCATTTATGTAAAGTGTATGGTGGTGCTGAAGTTTTTTTTCTTCCTTTTTATTAGAAGACATGACTCTGGAGGCTGAGGTGAGAGGACCACATAGGCCAGGAATTCAAGAAAAGTGACATTTGTACTGTGCTGGGCATGGGGGCCACATTTTTTGGAGAAACACACATTTACAAACACACTCACACTCACTACGCATGGATTCACCCCTAGCTACCTCCCAACCCTCCTGCACACAAACCCACACCATCTAAATGATACGGCTGTTTCCAGGGACTCTGGTGGATGGTCACAGTTCTTCACTGAGCCATCTGTTCCTCACACTGCACTCCAGGTCCTCACTCTTATCAGGAACCGGAAGCCAGGCAGGCTCTCCAGACAAAAGCAGGCAAGAGAGTCCCCCGCGACCCATCACTTAGATTTGTCATCAGCAAGGGAGTGGTCTTAGAATATGCACAGTGTTAGAGAGGAGAACAACACACACTAGGGTCTGTCGGGATGGGGAAGGGAGAGCATCTGGATAAACAGCTAATGCACGCAGGGCTTCATACCTAGGTGATGGGTTGACAGGTGCAGCAAACCACCATGACACACTTTTACCCATGTAACAAAACTGTACATCCTCACATGTATCTCAGAACTTAAAAAAAAAAAAAGAACCAAAAAAAAAAAAAAAAAAGAAATAGCCAGAGTAGGCAAATCTACTGCAATAGAAAGTAGATGAGTGGCTTCCTAGGGCCAGAGGTGTAGGGAGGTTGGGGAAAAGAGAGGAGTAACTACTAATGGATATGAGGTTTATTTGAGGGGGAATGAAAAGGTTCTAAAATGAGATTGTAACAATGGTTGCACAACCCTGGAAATATAGTAAAAACACTGAATCACCCACTTGAAATGAGTGAATTGTTTTGCATGTTAACTATGTCTCAATAAAGCTTTTTTTAATAATAAAATAATACTTACAGTTGGAATTTTGGGCTGTATAGTCCATCTGCAATAGGAGAAAGAAAATGCCATAAGCATCCAATCATGCTGGGTCCCGTTTGCACAGGTCTTTTATTCGCTTTGTGACATTAGAAAACCACATGTCAAACAGTAATCAAGTCACTGGCCCCCAAGTAAAGCATAGAGAATGCTTGTGGAAAAGGCAATGGGTTTTCATGGAATATTTGCAAGTCCAAGTTGGCTGGCAAATACAAAATTATTTTTCAAGAAGAAAAAGTTGCTACTAAGAAATATGCTCACTACCAGACAGTTTGTAGGTGATGCTGTCATTTTTTTACTGTCATCATCAATCAGGCCTCAGTTGGTCATAAACTCAAATGGCTGGTCGCTAGAGTCCACGACCAACTGAGGCTTGATTGACAATGGCAATCAAAGATGTATTCGCTTGATATTCCCCCCACCAAGAAAATTGTCTTAGTCATCTGTTATGTACATGGTCAGATTTTTATATCTTCATTTCATTAATAAGGGAAGAAGCCTCAGAAAAAGAACATTTCTCTTCCAGATGAAAGAATGCATCTTACCATGTCAGGTAACATCTTATTTTCCAGAATATCAAGGTCACACTCCTCCAGGTCTGGAACAGGAGCTAGGAGAACATACGAGTGACAGTCAGTGCATTGGTGCTGCTGAGGAATCCCACAAGGAGCCTTGGGGGATGTGAACCGGGGCTGGAGTGTATGGAGGTGGGTGGTTGACAAGCATGGACTGAGCTGCTGCTGGACCATTCTCCTTGGTGTGGAAGGAAGGCAAAGGGGAGGAACAGAAAGAAATGGAAGAGCCTTGGCTTTGTAGCTAGGGCAACCTAACCAATGTGAAATATTAACATTAAGAGCCACTTAACACAGAAAGGCACTGTATGATTCAGTGAGAGCAAATCTACAGAGATAGAAAGTAGATGAGTGGCTGCCCAGGAACAGAGGTGTGGGGGTTAGAAAGAGAGAGGACTGACTACTAACAGATATGGGGTTTCTCTGAGGGGGAATGAGAAGGTTCTAAAATGGGATTGTAACAATGGTTGCACAACCCTGCAAATACAGTAAAAACACTGAGTCTCTCAAAACAAAACAAAACAACACTGAATCACCCACTTTAAATGGGTGAATTGTTTTGCATGTCAACTATGTCTCAATAAAGCTTTTTTTAATAATAAAAAAATACGTACGGTTGGAATTTTGGGCTGTATAGTCCATCTGCAATAGGAGAAAAGAAAACGCCATAAGGATCCAATCATGCTGGGTCCCGTTTGCACAGGTCTTTTATTCACTTGGTGACATTAGGAAACCACATGTCAAACAGTAATCAAGTCACTGGCCCCCAGGTAAAGCATAGAAAATGTTTGTGGAAAAGGCAATGGATTTCTCCAAGTTGGCTGGCAAATACAAAATTATTTTTCAAGAAGAAAAAGTTGCTACTAAGAAATATGCTCACTACCAGACAGTTTGTAGGTGATGCTGTCATTTTTCACTGTCATCGTCAATCAGGCCTCAATTGGTCATAAACTCAAATGGCTGGTGGCTACAGTCCATGATCAACTGAGGCTTGACTGACCATGGCAATCAAAAATGATATTCGCTTGATATTCCCCCCAACCTAGAATATTATCTTACTCATCTGTTATGTACATGGTGAGATTTTTATATCTTCATTTCATTAATGAGGGAAGAAGCCCCAGAAAAAAACAAACAAACAAAAACAAAAAAACATTTTTCTTCCAGGTGAAGGAGTGCATCTTACCATTTCAGGTAACATCTCCTCCACAATATCAAGGTCACATTCCGCCAGGTCTGGAACAGGAGCTAGCAGAACATAGGGTGACAGTCAGTGCATTGGTGCTGGTGAGATATCCCACAAGAAGCCTTGGGGGATGTGGGGACTGAGGCTGGAGTGTATACAGGTGGGTGGTGGACAAGCATGAACTGAGTTGCTGCTGGATCATTCTCCTTGGTGTGGAAGGAAGGCAGAGGAGAGGAGCAGAAAGAAAGAGCCTGGCTTTCTAGCTAGGACAACCTAACCAATGTGAAATATTCGTGTTTAAAAAAATGATGAATACAGAAAGGCACTGTATGGTTCAGTGAGACCGTGTCATCACACCTCCTGCCCATTTGAAGGTCCAGGCCAATCCCCTCATTTTTCAAAATGTTACAAGACCATTTAATTCTCTGGATTTACATATCCTGCTACTACATTTATCATCTATCTTGCTTTACTTTTTAAATTGGGTGAAACATACATATTATTTTAGTTATTTAGTGTACATTTCAGTGAAATTGAATTCAGTGAGCTACATTCATGATGCGGTGTCAATAATGAGAAAAATCTAGATTCATAATCTAAACTTAAAAAACATGGCCGGGCGCGGTGGCTCAAGCCTGTAATCCCAGCACTTTGGGAGGCCGAGGCGGGCGGATCACAAGGTCAGGAGATCGAGACCACAGTGAAACCCCGTCTCTACTAAAAATACAAAAATTAGCCGGGCGCGGTGGCGGGCGCCTGTAGTCCAGCTACTCGGGAGGCTGAGGCAGGAGAATGGCGGGAACCGGGAGGCGGAGCTTGCAGTGAGCCGAGATCGCGCCACTGCACTCCAGCCTGGCGACAGCGTGAGACTCCGTCTCAAAAAAAAAAAAAAAAAAAAACAATGATTGAGGCCAGGCACGGTGGCTCAAGCCTGTAATCCCAGCACTTTGGGAGACCGAGACAGGTGGATCACGAGGTCGGGAGATCGAGACCATCCTGGCTAACACGATGAAACCCTGTCTCTACTGAAAAATTACAAAAAACTAGCCAGGCGAGGTGACGGGCGCCTGTAGTCCCAGCTACTTGGGAGGCTGAGGCAGTAGAATGGCGTAAACCCGGGAGGCGGAGCTTGCAGTGAGCTGAGATCCGGCCACTGCACTCCAACCTGGGCAGCAGAGTGAGACTCCGTCTCAAAAAAAAAAAAAAAAAAAAAAAACAACAATGATTGCAGAAATCAATGGAATAGAAAACAGGAAATCATCTGAGAAAATCAACAAAACAAAAAGCCAGTTCTTTGGAAACATCAGTAACATTGATAAACCTCTACCTTGGCTACCCACAGATGAAAGAAAGATGTTACAATGTACTAATAGTATCAATTGAAGAGGAGTTAAATCAAATAATAATAAAGGAATATTCTGAACACATCTATGCCCACAATTTGATCCATTAGATGAAATGAGCTAACTCCTTTTTATCTATTAGAAGACCAAGTCTTCTGGGAAAAAATAGATCATTTGAATAGGCCTATATTTATTTTAAAAATTGAATCAATAATTAATAATCTTTTGAAAAAAGGAAAATCCAAAAAAGTATATTCATATGGTTTCACTGGAAAAAAAATTCTACCAAATTTTTTTTTTTTTTTTTTTTGCAACACAGTCTTGCTCTGTCACCATCCTGGAGTGCAGTGGTGTGATCTTGGCTCACTGCAACCTCTGACTCCCTGGTTCAAGCGATTCTCCTGTCTCAGCCTCCCAAGTAGCTGGGATTATACGCCCTGCTAGTTTTTGCATTTTTAGTAGAGCCGGGGTCTCACCATGTTGGCCAGAATGGTCTTGATCTCCTGACCTCATGATCTGCCTGCCTCAGCTTCCCAAAGTGCTGGGATTACAGGCATGAGCCACCGTGCCCAGCCCCAAAATTCTTACAAAGAAAAACCTGGTCTTATCATATAAGCAAGTAATCACAATCCTAAGTATTCCCTTAGTTACATTTTAAAAATTATGTTTCCACACTTTTACACTGTTGGTGGGACTGTAAACTAGTTCAACCATTGTGGAAAACAGTGTGGCGATTCCTCAAGGATCTAGAACTAGAAATACCATTTGACCCAGCCATCCCATTACTGGGTATATACCCAAAGGATTATAAATCATGCTGCTATAAAGACACATGCACACGTATGTTTACTGCAGCACTATTCACAATAGCAAAGACTTGGAATCAACCCAAATGTCCATCAGTGACAGACTGGATTAAGAAAATGTAGCACATATACACCATGGAATACTATGCAGCCATAAAAAAGGATGAATGTGTGTCCTTTGTAGGGACATGGATACAGCTGGAAACCATCATTCTCAGCAAACTATCACAAGAACAGAAAACCGAACACCGCATGTTCTCACTCATAGGTGGGAATTGAACAATGAGATCACTTGGACACAGGAAGGGGAACATCACACACTGGGGCCTATTGTGGGGAGGGGACAAGGGGGAGGGATAGCATTAGGAGATATACCTAATGTAAATGATGAGTTAATGGGTACAGCACACCAACATGGCACATGTAAACGTATGTAACAAACCTGCACGTTGTGCACATGTACCCTAGAACTTAAAGTATAATAATAAAAATAAATAAATAAAAATTATGTTTCCAAACAAGACACAGCAAGGTTTTTAATAGCTATACTCATAATTGCCCAAACTGAAGGCAAATATCTAAACATTTGAGGTGTCCTTTACTATTAAAAGTGAACCGAGCCTGGGCAACATGGTGAAACCCCATCTCAACAACAACAACAAAAAAAAAAAAATAGAAAAATTAGCTTGACATGATGCCTTAGTGCCAGTTACTTGGGAGCCTGAGGTGGGGGGAACACCTGAACCTGAGGAGGTCAGGGTTGCAGTGAGCTGTGATTGCACCAATGCACTCTTGGATGACAAAGTGAGGCCTTATCTCAAAAAAAATAAAACAATCATTTTGAATTTTGAATTTAAGAAATCTCTGGCCGGGCATGGTGGCTCACGCGTGTAATCGCAGCACTTTGGATGGCTGAGGCAGGTGGATCACAAGGTCTAGAAGTAGAGACCATCCTGGCTAACATGGTGAAACCCGCCGGAACTAAAAATACAAAAAAATTAGCCAGGTGAGGTGACACGCACCTGTAGTCCTAGCTACTCAGGAGGCTGAGGCAGGAGAATCGCTTGAACCCAGGAGGCAGAGGTGGCAGTGAGCCAAGATCACGCCACTGCACTCCAGCCTGGGCAACAAGAGTGAGACTCCATCTAAAACAAACAAACAAATCCAAATATTTGGGACTGAATTAGCCCAATTATGAGCTACCTAAAGGGATGGGAGAAAAGAAACAATCTGGTCCTTACCTGTTCCTTCATTTAGGTACCAAACCAGCTGGATAAGCAAGGCTGGAGAATGGGATGGGGACTCCAAAACTGGGGTATTTGAATTTTCATTGAGAAAAGGAAGAGATTAGATCAAAAAAGCCTCAGTGTCTAAGACAAGAGGCAGAGCCAACCTTTGTTCCCCATGCCTAGACCTGGGAAAGCTGGCTATGGGCAGGAGGGAGCTGGCAGCTGAGGATGTCTCTGGGGATGAGGCTATGGGAAGGGGGTGAGGGTGGCCACAGGTGTGCCAGAGAGTAAATGGAACCCATGGCTTTTTTACCTGTGGGCATCTTTTGGTTGCTGATGTGCTGCAGGTCATGGCCCTCCGTGGCTCCCACATCCAGCTTGCCAGGCTCTACAGTAGTGGATGCTGATTTTGTAGCAGCCACAGCCTCATAAATATCAGATTCATAACTGGATGCTACCTTCCCCCTGTGCCAGCCACAGTTGGAACTGACTTTGGGGCACACACAACAGGTCAATATATTCCCCATGGGATATCTACACGCCTCTCCACTCCTGCCTGAGCCTTTGATGAAACTGAAACGGTGCTGCCCGAGCAGCCACACTACTGAGGCTGGCACAGCACTTGTAGAAGCAGCCTGACTCCAGGCAGATCTGGGGCCTCAGCCCTTACTTTGTCACTACCTCCCAAACTAGCTGTTCTATGAGGTCAGGGATCTGCTGTTTTACTTCAAACAGAAACACACAACAAGTGCTGAGAGGCACAAAAACTGCTGGGACACAGCACAGTCGGAGCTCCTCCTCCTCCTACTCCTAGCTACCGACTGAGGGCTGCTGGCCCTGGCTGATGCCTATAACCACAAAGCTTCCCATGTCACCTGGTTACCAGGAAACAGCCAGGCCAGGCTATTGACTCACAATGTCCAGCCCCACAGCCCCACCCAAGGCCTCACAATGCCCATCCCTGCTGCTGCCCACCTTGTGGCCACCCTGCCCCTCTGTGCTGACTGCACTACTCAGGCTTTTATTCACCCCGGGCTGCCTGAGCTTTCCGGTCCTGAGAAAAGTGCAGGGGGGTTGTTATTGGAAGTCACACTTGGCAAGAAACTCAATGTAAAACCCTGGTACAGCCGGGAGCGGTGGCTCACGCCTGTAATCCTAGTACTTTGGGAGGCTGTCGGGGGGGGGGGTGGATCACCGAGGTCAGGAGTTCGAGAACAGCCTGGCCAACATGGTGAAACCCCATCTCTAAAAATATAAAACATTAGCTCTATGTGGAACCCCATCTCTACTAAAAATACAAAATGTTAGCTCTGCGTGGTGGCAGGCATCTGTACTCCCAGCTACTCGGGAAGCTGAGGCAGGAGAATTGCTTGAATCCAGGAAGCAGAGGTTGCACAGTGAGCCAAGATCACGCCCTTGCACTCCAGCCTGGGTGGCAAGGGTGAAACTGAGAAAGGAAAGAAAGAAGAAAGAAAGAAAGAGAGAAAGAGAGAGAGAGAGAGAGAAAGAAAAGAAAGAAAGAGGAAGGAAGGAAGGAAGGAAGGAAAAAAAACCCGTTACTAAAGTCAGTTCCACCAGCATTTCTGTTTTTCAGAGTCTGACAGCTTTCATTTGCTCACTATATGTAGTTATACACAAATTTTTGACTGCTTTTCTAACTAAATGCTTCTCTCCTGTCCTATAAATGTTAGTTCTTGTCTGCAACTTGATCATAGCTACCCCCAGGGCCCTGGTCCCACTCTCAATAGAGAGTCATGGCTGTGTATCCTGAATGAAAGCCTGGGACACATCACACTTTCCCCTCCTGGTCTATAAAATAGGGACTGAACACATCCTTCCCAGCTCTGTAATGCTAGGACCTACCAACTCCCTTTTCTCCCTCTGTTTCTTCTTTCCATGGCAGGGGTACTCAGATATTTCTTTTATTTACTTATTTATTTATTCTTTGAGATGGAATGTCACTCTGTTGACCAGGTTTGAGTGCAGTGGAACGATCTCGGCTCACTGCAACCTCCACCTCCCAGGTTCAAGCGATTCTCCAGCCTCAGCCTCCCAAGTAGCTGGGACTACAGGCACACACCACCACATCTGGCTAATATTTGTATTTTTAGTAGAGATGAGGGTTTCACCATGTTGGTCAGGCTGGTCTTGAACTCCTGACCTCAGGGGATCCGCCCACCTCAGCCTCCCAAAGTGCTGGGATTACAGGCGTGAGCCATCACGCCCGGCCTCAGATATTTCTTTCACTAACAAATCATAAAGCATTAGTTTCTTATACAAAATTGAGAACCCCACAGTGGGGTACCATTGGCCTCATAGGATAAAGATGAACAGTCAACATCTGGCAAGCATTATGTGCCTGACGGTGTTCCAACTGTGGCATACTCATTTAACCCTCAGAAACAGTCCCATTGTACACATTTTACAGCATAAATCTAGATGGAAAAATCAAGTAACTTCCCCAAGGTCCCACAACTGCTCAATGTGAGGCCAAAATGTAATCCTGGAGAATCTTGATCCCCACAAGATGATCGCGATTATCAGAAGGTAAAGGTAGAAGTCAAGCATGGAGGGGGAGTGACATTGTAGAATAGTATATTTTAAGAAAAATGGCCAGGCACGGTGGCTCACAGCTGTAATCTTAGCACATTGGGAGGCCCAGGCAGGTGGATCACCTGAGGTCAGGAGTTTGAGACCAGCCAGGGCAAATTGGCAAAACTCCATCTCTACTAAAAATACAAAATTAGCTGGGCATGGTGGCACATGCCTGTAATCCCAGCTACTCAGGAGGCTGAGGCAGGAGAATCACTTGAACCCAGGAGGCAGAGGTTGCAGTGAGCTCAGTTCACATCACTGCACTCCAGCCTGGGCAACAGAGTGAGACTCCATCTCAAAAAAAAAAAAAAAAAAGAAAAACCACACACACAATGTTTTTTATGTGGATTTTAAAATTCCTCCCCTTCATTCAACATTAAGTCCCTGTTAAGGGTAAGGCACTGCATGGGCCTGAAACTGTCCCAGCACTCAGTGACTTCAGGCAGATGAGCAAACAAAGGCTTAGAGAGTTCAGTTGTCTAAGGCCACATCTGGCACCCCATGTTGGATACCCACCCCCGATAATTTAACGTGGGTCCTTTTCTATTTTCTGTGTCAGTCAGTCTGAAAAATAAAGAAAAAGAGTACAAAAGAGAGAAATTTTAAAGCTAGGTGTCGGGAGGAGACATCACATGTCGGCAGGTTCTGTGATGACTCCCAAGTTGCAAAACCAGCAAGTTTTTCTTAGTGATTTTCAAAAGGGGAGGGAGTGTATGAGTAGGGTGTGGGTCACAGAGATCACATGCTTCACAAGGTAATAAAATATTACAAGGCAAATGGAGGCAGGGCAAGATCACAGGATGGGGGACGGGAACTAAAATTGCTAATGAAGTTTCGGCACGCATTCTCATTGATGACATCTTATCAGGAAACAAAGGGTTTGAGAGCAGACAACCTGTCTGACCAAAATTTGTTAGGTGGGAATTTCCTCGTCCTAATAGGCCTGGAAGTGCTACGGGAGATGGGGTCTTATTTCATCCCTTACCTGCAACCATAACAGACAGACATCCCCAGAGCGGCCATTTCAGAGGCCTCCCCTTAGGAACACATTCTTTCTCAGGAATGTTGGTTACTGAGAAAAAGAATTCAGCGATATTTCTCCCATTTGCTTTTGAAAGAAGAGAAATATGGCTCTGTTCCACCTGGCTCTCAGGCAGCCAGACCTAATGGTTATCTCCCTTGTTCCCTGAACATCGCTATTGTCCTGTTCTTTTTTCAAGGTGCCCAGATTTCATATTGTTTAAACAATTTGTGCGGTTAACGCAATCATCACAGGATCCTGAGGCGACATACATCCTCCGATTACGAAGATGACGGGATTAAGATATTAAAGACAGGCATAGGAAATCACAAGAGTATTGACTGGGGAAGTGATAAACGTCCATGAAATCTTCACAATTTATGTTCAGAGATAGCAGTAAAGACAGGCGTAAGAAATTATAAAAGTATTAACTTGGGGAACTAATAAATGTCCATGAAATCTTCGCAATTTATGTTCTGCCGTGGCTTCAGCTGGTCCCTCTGTTTGGGGTCCCTGACTTCCCGCAACAACCAACCTCTCTGCATTCCTTTCTTATACCTGGAGGAGAGAGGAAGGAGGGAAAGGAGCTGTGGGTGGCTGAATTAGGCCCAGGGATGGCTGTGTCCCAGTCCCGGGACCTGTCCAGGTGCTGTGTTGTGTGGCCACAGGGACTTTACAGATGTGAGGATGTGAAGGCGCCTGAGGTGGAAGATGATCCTGGGTTATCTGGGTGGGTCCAAGGTGGGGTCTTGTCTTTCTTTTTTTTTCTTTTTTTTTTTTTTTTTGAGACAGAGTCTCGCTCTGTCGCCCAGGCTGGAGTGCAGTGGCGCAATCTTGGTTCACTGCAAGCTCTGTCTCCTGGGTTCATGCCATTCTCCTGCTTCAGCCTCCCAAGTAGCTGCGACTACAGGTACCTGCCACCATGCCCGGCTGATTTTTTGTAGTTTTAGTAGAGACAGGGTTTCACCGTGTTAGCTAGAATGGTCTCGATCTCCTGACCTTGTGATCCGCCCGCCTCGGCCTCCCAAAGTGCTGGGATTACAGGCGTGAGCCACCAGGCCTGGCCAAGGTGGGGTCTTTATAAGGGAAAGAAGGAGGCAGGAGGGTCAGAGTGAGAGCAGGAGTGGTGGGGGGAGGGAGAGAAAGGGAGAGAAGGACAGAGGGTGAGAGAAGGTGGTGGGGAGAGAGACAGAGAGAAGAGTGGGAGAGAGATTTGAAGATGCTGGCTCTGGCTCTGGCCAGGAGTCCAGGGCATCCTCTAGAAGATGCAAAAGTCCTGGAAATGGATTCTCCTCAGAGCCCCCAGAAGGAGCCTGGCCCAGCTGGCACCTTGATTTTAGCACTCTACAATTCATTTTGGACGTCTGACTCCAGACCAGGGAATCAATGTGTGATGTTTTAAGCCTCTAAATTAGGGGTCATTTGTGACAGCAGCAGCCACAGCAAAGTCAAACAGGAGCCATGGGAGAGACTCCCTAGGATGTCCCGAGGGTCCCTCCCTGGCCCCACCCGCAGAAACACAGGCCTGACCACTGCTGGTGCCTCCAACCCTCTAACACCCCGCTCAGCAGGAACCATGCAGGAGGGGCTGTGTGTGGCTGGGCCATGTTCTCTCCCCTCACACCTTCTTCTCAGAGAGCAGCTGGAGCCCCAGACCCAGGGAGCCTCCCAGAGAAATACCCAACACAGGACCTGGTTTTCCACCTGAGGCTCAGGATCCAATGGAGAAGTGTTTCCCAAAAATGATGCTTCCTCCAAAGATGGCCAGTGACTTTCTGTGCCAAGCATCTGAGAAAATCTCCATGTCCTAGGGCTGCCAGGCAGTCACCTGTGCACATGTCGGAGCCCAAATCCCATCAGTAGTGAGGCCTTGGGTAAAACACACCCCACTTTTAATTATGAAGAGATGCCTGGCCTCAGCATTGAAAACACCAACTTCCCTCGAGAAAAGACTTGTTTAATCTCTTAGAAATGATGGAGCACACCAGCCTGAACAACATGGTGAAACCCCATCTCTAATAAAAATACAAAAATTAGCCAGACATTGTGGCACATACCTGTAATCCCAGCTACTCAGGAGGCTGAAGCAGGAGAATTGGTTGAACGTAGGAGGCAGAGGTTATGGTGAGCCAAGATAGTGCCATTGCACTCCAGCCTGGGAGACAGAGCGACACTCCATCTAAAAAAAAAAACAAGA